TTAAACCTAGAAGGCTCATGAAAGCAAAGAATACTAACATGTCAAAAAGCATGAATTACATTTGATTTTTTTCCTGAAAAATGTACTATTAGAGAAAATGTGAAGAATTGTACTTATCCAGGTTCAACTTGAAATGGCTTGTGTTTAAATGATGCTCAATCAAAACTCACTGTATTAAAGGAAAAAACAAATGTGAGATAAAATGCCCTGTTCTCCTTTAAAGAATGTGGTAGATTTCTTAGTTAGTCTTTCATCAACCAGATACTTCGACAAAGATACACAGGGCTTTGGGGAATTTGACTTCTGCAGCCCTTGCTAGGGTCCTAGAGGACTTGGGAGGAATTCTAAATAAACAGTCTTTCAGCTCATCCTAGCCACGAAGCGCCTACAAGCCTCTCTCCCCCTCCTTTCAGTGGGCTTCACTAGTTCTCCAGCAGCCTACACTCATCAAAATGCAGAAGTCCTAGATTATCAGAAACCAGATCCTGTTGGGATGAGTAAACACCAATCAACAGCCCCATTAGCGTCCAGAGGCCTCCCTACTTTGTTTATAGTAAACAGGGCGACAGCCAGCACCCCGAGGCCTGGTCCTTTTGAATTTTTTATTCTACTTCTGTGTTGTTTGTCTGCCTGTTTCTAGGATTTTTCTGTGCTGCACTCTTCCTGCTTTATTTTTTTGAATAATAACTTGTTTTGGTTTTTTCTTTTTAATGAAACAAGGGGGGAAACTGAAGGTAAGTATCCGTGGCCTTCCTTAAAACAACTGCTTTCTCAATTGTATTCAGCCATCTGCAGGTATGCGCTAAAGGGCAGAGGCGGACAATGAAGATGCCTTAATTTTTTTTCCTAAACTCTAAGACTAGTGCTCTTCTAGGCATGATTAGTCATGGGACCTCTTTTCCAATTTAAGGCAGAGACATCTCGATTTATTATTCATCTCGAGCTGTATTTGAAATGCAGATGTTTCAGGCCGCAGGCTCTTGTGGGGGATGCAGCTGGCCTAATCCTTTACTGCTGCCCTCGGATAATGACACATCAGAGAGCTGGGCCGAGTTTTGGACGATGCTCTTTCACTCTGGGAGTGGCTAACATATGAAGTGCACGAAGACAGCCCGGAGAAGGCCTGGAAGCCCCGGGGCAACGTCACCAGGCTGAGGGTGGATCAGAGACGTCAGCATCTCCGAGGGTGGAGAGTCCAAGAGCTCGGTTACAGCACTTACTTTGGCTCTAGAGAAGAAGTCACATTTACTTGTAAGAGCCAGTGTGTGAATCTCACTTTGGCAAGAGGGAACGTTTAGGTCTGCAGTTTTCTTTTACTAAGTGGATGTGATCGTATTTTGAGTTTTATTGTCACTCATTTGGTTTTAAGTCAGTCACTTCCTTACATCTTACCTCATGTCTATGAAACAGTTCATGTTCTTTCTTTGACAAAATTTTTAGACATTTCTATATGTATATATATATTCCTAAAGTCAACATATTTTTATATTAGAAACTTAGTGTGCTGTTATATTTTCTCAGTGCAAAAGTCGAGAGCCAGTTTAGAGGTCTAAATGACCCCTTGTGATACACATGTGACATTTGTAGAAAGAAAAACCCTGTCATTGTGTGAAAAGTCAGCCTGATGCTCCAGGAAAACAATGTGTTATTATAGCCTACCCAGAAAATAAATTACACCTAGGTGTGGCTGAGAACTCAACTATTAGAAAATAATCAGAAAAAAAGAATATCAACCTTAATTTAATACTTTAATATTGTAGTATGATTCTTACATTGCAACCGTTTCCCCGTAACTGTTGATGGTACGGTCCAAAACCTGACGCATAGTTGGTGTTAAGCTAGGGAGCAGGTAACTGGGACGTAACTCATTGGAGAGTCGGCCACTCAGTCCACCACCATATGGCTCCTGCAAGGGCCACCACTCCCTCCCCTACTTACTATGACTAAATTTGCCTGAGGACTTAGGACTGAGATACTTCCTAAGAGTTAAAATGAAATGAGAAAAGTAAATAAATAAAGACAGAGGTCCCAATGTTTCTCAGCTGGGACATTTTTACTCCTTGTACTTACTATGACCACCCGCCTTCCTCTCCTTCCCTGAGAGTCTCAGATCAATATGATAGATAAAGGTAAAGCTTAAGGTAAACGATTACCCTATAAGCTGATGGGAATTGTAATTTCAGTGTATAGCAAACACTACAGGGTACAGTAAGCTTACAAGCATAAAAAATTCATCACTTATTTCCAATGATTGATTTGTATTCTGGCTTAATTAGCCATGAAAGGGTCCGTTTTTTTTTTTTAAAGCTTTCCTTTGCTTTTCATTTTTATTTCCTTCTCCACTGCCTGCTGAAGAAGCTAATCCCCAGCTGTCAAGTTAAGGAAATTTAAAGGTAGACGCTAAATAAAAACATTACCAATCATGAATACATTTTCATATATCAAGCATGGATCTCAAAGATTTTATAGACAAGCCAAGATTTATAATTATGTTTCCGGAAAATTGTCTTATTTTTATCATTAATAGTATTTTAATTACAGTATCATCACTGACAAACATAATCTGTAAAAACAGTTACATTAGCCTTCCAAAAAGAAGATGTTTTATGATGTCCACTAAACCTTCAGTCTTGGTCGATCGATTCTCAGTAACCAATGCAAGTGACTTGAAGAGGAATATATATTTATGGAACTCAGAAAAGAACGAAAGCCCGACCCAAAGTCGATGGGGGTCAGGGTGGGATAAGGGATTGGGGATGAGGGACTGATGGAGAGGACGATTTGGTTACTAAAACAACAAACTCGCAAATGCATTCAGAAATACACCAAGAGTGTCCATGTTTATTTTAACTAGCCACCACGAAGAAGGAAAAGACAGGACAATAGTGAAGGCCAGCTGTTGTTTTCCTTGAAGAGGTCCCAGCTCCGTATGCTGAGGAACTCTACTAGAGAGGGCCTGGCTGAGACAAATGTTCGGTCCACACTTTAAATGGCAGCTGGTTATTAAATGACTCCCAATAGAGTGAACACTTGCTATTGACAATAAGGTAATATAAGGACCATGCAGAGCAATCAGGATGGGAATGTGAATGAAAAATCTTTAATCTGAAATTACAGCTGTCAGGGTCAGATTATAAAACATGAAAGTTGCATCTGCAGTTAGAATTAATGTGTCCCCAAAGCCAAGTTTCTCATAAACTGCGTCTTGCAGATACATATTTTATAAATAGACTACCAGTCGTCTATAAATCAAAGAGAACTGTGGCCTATATTAAGGAATTAAAAGGGGTCATCTCTCTTGGCATTGGTATTTGTTGAGCAGTACCGGGGAGGCGGGGGGGCAGCGTGAAATGAACATTGATTTCCAAAGTCTGGCAGAGAGGTTAGACGTATTAGCCCTGCACAGTGATATCCACCGATTCCAGCACCACATACAAATGCCCTGAAGTGATATTTTGTAATAAACTGTGAATGAGGAAAAACAGGGATTATGACATAATATAAACAAGTGAAATGGTCTTCCTGGCAAATTTACCAACAGAATGTAAATTTTGGTTGCTGGGTAGTTTATTTAAAAAGCTGATACAACCTCTCTGGGGTGACTGCATACTTTTAAAAACAGTCAGAGTCCTAACAAGATAATTTTGAATCAGAGACACATGAAAGTCTGTGTTAGCAATGTCACATAAACACATAAAACTGAAGGCCTGGAAGCATTATTAGAGATCATCTAGTCCAGGAACTCACTTGTTAAAATCTGGTGCATTTTTTAAATAAACATGTCAAATACCAAATGGCATTTATATTATATTATATCTCTGAAAACATAAAGCATGTGATCTCAGTGGCTGAGAGCCCTTTCTTGTACTTGGTGATGTATCTCACTTAAAAGATGGAGATGAGTGTCATGAGCAAGGTGCTGTTTTATTGCTAATATCTAAGGCATAGTGGGGAGCCGCTGATGCCTCTCCTTGTTTTTTAGAAAATAAAGCCATGCCTTTTTTTATTAGCTTACTTAATATAACAGGTCTCTTTAAAGGAGAAAAATGATTGATAGATAAAAAGATAGCAGCATCACACATGCAAGCTTAAGAATACCTGTCCCATTTGGCACCATTTACCCTGGGAGGTTTATCACTGCTATGAAACAGTAGAGAAGACGTCTTTATTAAAGTCTTAAAAAAAAAACTCTTAAGGAAACTATATTTTAATTCATTTATTTATAATTAATGTTAAATAGAAAAATCAAATGGATAAACAATGTATACAAGTTAATAACTTCCTTTGTGCTAATGGTGTGGAAGACCAACTTGATACACCTGGTACAAACTTTACTCAGTTTCCAAGGTGAGGAACTGCCAAAGACAGCTGAGCAGACAATTGTAGGGTCTAGGGGTTCAGGCATCTGAACCGAAAGAGAGGATTTACTCTTTCCCTCTGGGGTTTGCAAACTGGATATGTACTTTAGTCACCAGATGCTACCGGATTTTTGAGTGGGGTCAACGGCTGAAAATACTTTCTATGTCTGTTTCACAATCATTTTATGATCTTGTCTCATTTCTGTAGACATTAGTCTCAGTTTCCCATGCCTCTGTGATCTCTGGAATAGATATCGCAGGGAGATTTGCCTATGTCTCTTTTGGGAACCACCCAGAAGCTTCCACTGGTACAAAATGCAGAAGCTCGACTACTTAAGAATGGAGGCTGATGAGAAAGCAGAGGACACAATCCAAGTCCAGAATCTTAGATGCAAAGACCTCAGAGTGGGTCTATTAGTACAAGAGTTCTCAAATGAGGTTTTGAACTAGAGATCAGAGTCCTAGCTAATGAGCCAACATTGGGTCCAATCACTGTCCACTGAATATGAAGTTGAGTAGATTTTTGTAATCTGTTACCCTGTCAGATTTTGATAACTTTGAATCTGAATGTAAAAACAATCGCTTTTTATATTCATAGAATCGTTCAAAATGAAAATTTAATTAGAAATATTTTACACTTACCGTAATATAACACTTTGACTCCTAGAAATCCAGTAGTGACTCAACTGGAAAAAAAAAAATAAACCTAGGCTGGGAATCTAGTTACAAAAGAGTGAGAATTGCTTTCCTGATATTCTGGAGCTCTTCAAAGGAACGAGGAAGAAAAAGGTAGGAAGACAACATAGGAAAGATAGCAAGAAAAATGAATTGAATTGGAAGATTAGATAGATAGATAGATAGATAGATAGATAGATAGATAGATAGATAGATTCATGGGTTTTATATGCATATATATAAGACCCATGAACCCATCCTATAGCACAAAATGCTTCCCAGATCTCCTACCCACCTGAAATTAGAGTGACTAAATGTCATCAGATAGGATGTACAGACACCAGGCCCCAAACAGGCACTCAGGAAATCTAGAAGAGTGCTTCATGTCTGCTTTCTGGAACTGCAGGAGGAAATTTAAGGGAAGGAAAGAATCCTAAGAACGCTGGACAAGTCACTTGGACTTTGACTACCAACATATGCATACTTTGCCATGCTTGCAAATGACAGATTAAAGGAAAAGAGATAGTCTCATATTGAGTTGTCATTTTTAATGTTATTACAAAATAGCATTAAAGAAAAGTAAACAGAAATAAAAACTACCATCTACCCTGATCACCCTTTTATAAACAAAAGAGCATGTGGTATTTTAATTCCCCAAATTAAGAACATAATATCAGAACAAAGCTTTCTTCTTCCCAAGAAAGGGATTAGAAAGGGATTTTCTGCATTAAAATATGAATGCAGAAAAATGACAACATAAGAAATATACATTATAACACCACATTTAGTGTCAATGTTTTCTTATGAAAGTCTAATATGTAACATATATTATGTGATATAATATAAAGTGAAGCACAGAAGTTCAGCTTGTTCCTGAACTTTGGTTGTATCAGTGTCTAAAATAAAGTTATATATGGCCATGGTATTGAAAACACACACCAGAGTTTTTTAAATCATTTCACTTAATCTGTAACATTTTGGAGAGCAAAAGGACTACAGCTCTCAAGTCCCCCATGCATGCCTGACCATCTCCTGCCCTGGGGAAGTAGAAAGTAGCCCAGGGAGGCAAGTGTCTGGGCGTCCAGGTTAATAAGACTTCTTCTGCAGGACCCAGAGAACTGACCACCTGGCAAGGAACACTCAGGAGTCTAAGAAGGGTCTGAGACGTACCTCAGACTGGGTGAAATGAACATTAAGGAAACTTTAAATTAAGATAATTTAAATGTCTCAGTCACCTAAATAATATTGAAAAGATGTAAGAGGAGGCTAATCTGTATCTAAAACTTTCCAATTCATTTGGGTTTATCTACCTTTCAAGATGCTGAGATATGCTGACCATCAATGTTTAGATTAGAGAAGCAACTTGTAATTAGAGTAAACATATGCTGTCAATTCAAATTAGTAGTGAAATAACGAAATGCAATTTCCTCAAAGAAAGTATATGCTGATAGTCTAAATGTTAGAAAATGGAAAAAGAACAAAAACGAAAATTTCCTTCAACGTCACAAAACTTTTCTAAGGAAAACTGAATTGTGATAGTTATTTTGGAGAATATTTATGAGTTATTTACACTTTATTATGAGGAAAAAGTCTCTCCTACTTTTTTCTTTAATATGCCACCCTTTGTTGACAAATGCAAATACTTTGAGAAGATATCCCAGCAGAAACCATTGTGGTCTGAGGGTTTTCTCGTCATCTTGTGTTAGAGAAAATGATGCTGAATCATATACACTTAACAAATCAAAAAGCAACAAACATGTGTTAGTAATGAAAATGCCCCATAGTAAGTAATCATCATAATGCCACTAAAGGAAAACAAGACCTTTTATTTACTTAACACATTTCACTATGTTCCACAGAGAATGAGTATTTTCACCAAACACCGTTGAACTGAAGTCCTGCTCATCCAATTTCACCTTCATATGAATTTTAATACTGACTATAGTAAATATGGTTCTCTTCGTGAAAATGGATTTCCATTTAGACACAAGGGACCTTGTTCTTTTAATTGGTATAGACCCAAGGGGATCATATCATGTTCACCCAAATGGAAAGCTACAAAGAAAAATATGATGATCTCAATAGTTATAATAGTGACAGAATTTGCTACATATAAACAGATAGAGCCATTTCTTCCATGTACAGACCTAGCCATGCATTGTATGCTGTAGAGCTGTAAGAAATACAAATAAAAATCTCATAACCAGAAAGAGATTGAAAGTGGAGAAAGTTTTGAGTCACCAGGGGACAAGAAATTGTGACTCATTTCTGAAACACAAAGAGTTATGAAAGCTAATGAGTGGCTGAAACTATATGAGGATATTTGAGCCCAAGACCTGCTGTGAAGGATTATAATGAAAGGGAGGTGGGAGCCATGTGCCACTGGGAAGCCCAGAAGTTACATCCAGAGCAAACAATAAGGAGGATGAAAACAGGGATGTTAAGTGAAGACCTGTACATGGAACAGTTCACCAATCTGCACCTCCAAATGGCAGAACTTCCAAAATTCAGAGTGGATCTCTTCTATGTGAAATTCCCTGGGGATTCTTCTCTGACAAGTTTCAGTGGACCTCTCGGGTTAAGGCAAGGTTTCTAGTGTGAAAGTTACTGCCGTGAATAAAGCCTTCTTTGTTTTGACTTTTGAGAGCCCTGAGACCTGATAGCCGTTCTCTGCTCACTGAACTAAAAACTAAGCCTGCCAGTCAATAATTTGTAGCCACACACCGAATTATTTACCTATTAGCAGAAGAAATCATGCCAACTGACCAATACTTCTTTTTTAAACATAAACAGATAACCAAGTGTTTTCATACAAATAAGAGAAATGAACAGCATAGAAGAGAAGGATCTCTACAAATTTATAGAAAAAAAACTTAAACATGTGATTCAAAGATAGAAGAGACCATTTAATGAATTATAATTAACACACTCATGGAGGTTCAAGAAAACATTACACTCACAAAACAAGAATAGGAAGCTATATAAAGGAAATTACACAATTATAAGAGAAAGCTGGTGGGGAGTGAAATATGGTCTCTGAAATGAAAAATTTCAATTAAAAGACAAGGAAATAACAGTCAAGGAAATGTGCAAGATTATAGAGAAAAACGTAAGATTCTAAATATGAAAGAAAAAACAAAATATGAAAGGGCCAATTCAAGATTACTAGCACAATACTAATAGAGACAAAAAGGTAGGAAATTCTCAAAGAAATAATAGAAATATTAAAACAATGGTTTTTATTTTATTGAAGTAGTTTAATTTACAATGTCGTGTTAGTTTCTGGTGTACAGCATGGTGATTCCATTATATATACACATTTTTTTCATTATAGGTTATTACAAGATACCAAATGTAGTTATATATGCTATACAGTAGGACCTTGCCATTTCTCTGTTTTATATATAGTAGTTAGTACCTGCTAATCCCAAACTCCTAATTTACCACCCCCTTTATGGGGCATCATCTATGACTTGCATTTTAATGGGATATTTCTAGCTTCAGTCGCAAATAGACTATGGATACATGAGGTAGAAACAAGGAAATCATTAGGCAACTGAAGGCATCCAGGTAGGAGATGGTGATAACTTGGACTAAAGTACCAGCAGTGGAGTGAGTGAAAAGTGATCAGATTCTAAACAAAACTTCAAAGTAAAATCAACAGATTTGTGTCAAATGTGGGATGTGAGGAAAGAGGAAAGAAGAAGATATCAAGAAAGGCTCAAAATTTTTTGATCCAAGATGGAATAGAATTCTGGTTTACCAAGATGGAGAGGATTACATAAGAAATGGGTTTTGCAAGTGGAATTTGGGGAAAAATATGTAATTTGGAGTGGACATATTAGATCTGAAGTTCGTATCAGACATCCATTTGGATATACTGAATAAGTAGTGAGATATTCAAGTCTGGAATTCTAGGGACATGATTCCAACAACAGTGAATCAATGTCATTTAGAATTAAGGCACTGGATGAGTTCACCAAAGACTGAGCATATAGAGGCGATAGGAAGGGTCCATAGATGGGGCCCTGAAGCACTCCCATGTCGAGATAAGAAGATGCAGAGTGACAAGCTGAGAAGGAGCATCTAGTGAGGCAGGAGGATTACAAAAGAGAGTGGTATGCCCGGAGTCAAGTGTGTTTCAAGAAGGAGGAAGTCATCAACTGTGTCAAAACCTGCTTCGAAGTAAGTGAAATAAGGACTTGAAAGTGATCATTGGATTTTGCAGCATGGAGCTCTTTGGAGACATGACAAAAGCTCTTCCTGTGCGGGGATAGGGGTGAAACCAGAATAAAGTGTGTTTAAGGGAGGACGGGGAAGGAAGTAGAAGGAGATTATACATAATCTTTGAGGAGCTTTTTCTAGAAAAGTTAGCACAGGACTAGTGAGATGTTTGGAAGTATAGTGGGATCAAACAAAGACCTTTTATAATGTGTGACATTATAGCATGTTTGTATAATATCGGGAATGTTCCTGAAGAGAGGGATCGTTTGATTCAGAATTGAGAGGGCAGCCACAGAAACAGTGTCCTTAAAACAGGAAGGGAGAAAGAATGCACAAAAGAGGAACCAGCCTTACATGGAGCAAAGACAATTCACCTTTGCAATCAGAGGAAGGCAGAATGTATGGGGCCAGATGTGTGTGGGTGGATAGATTTGTACAAAAGTACAGAGAAGTTGCTTTTCAATCATTTCCGTTTTTCTAGTGAAATAAGAAGAAAAGGCATATTTTGAAAGAGAGCAGAAGAAAAAGCATGGGAGTTTAAAGTGACGGTAAAAACATGTTAAATAAGCTTGCAGGAGAGAAGTATCACACCTGAGGAAATAAAGGAGGATTGCAAGAACCCGCAAAGAGCACCCTTGAGATTGGTGGTTAGGGAATTAAAGAGAGACATGAGAAACTGGAAACTGGCTGTGTGCCTTTCTTCAGCTCTAGTCAGCCGTGGGGGCAGCTGCACGGTGGGCGAAGAGTTGATTCTTCCAGGCTTCGGGTTTTGCGAGGCCAAGATTGGTGCAGAAGAGAGGAGCCAGTGAGCGGAGCTGGTAGGGAGAGAGTCGTCATGATCACGGAGCGCAGCTTCTAAGCTGGGCAAGGAGGGAAGTGGGGATGTGAGGGGCTTGGTGCACAGTGGCAAAGTGGAAAAAGAGAGAAAGGGATTTTCGAGTACGGGTACTAAAGAGAGAGAGGACGGGGTGGCAGGAGAAAGCAGGCAGCAACCTGAGACTGGAATGCTTGAAACTGAAATTAAAATTGAAATATCAAGGCCTAAGATACAGCTAGAGTGACGAGGGTGGGCTGGAAGGCAAACTCCTGAGACATGAGGAGGTCAAGGACCCAGGCAATTAAGCTATTGGAATTTTGTCTGCGTAGATATTGAAATCGCCAAGACTTATGATAAAAGTTGTGTTGGAAGGAGATATAAATAGTGAGTTAGTTGATAGGATCTACTTACAATCGTAAATTGTTGCTAAGATGAGGGTCTCAGGGATCTGCTGATGATCAGGGCAGGGAAGAGTAGAAAGCAGTGTAATAGAATGGCGTAAGTCTCCGAGAAATAACCTTTCAAAGGGGAGGGTGGTGCTTTACTGTCTGGAGGCAGCATGAGAGCAAGGCAGACCCCTCCCCCACCTCCAGGAGCAATACTAGGAAGCAACAGTCATCATGACAGTTTCGTGAGGAAGACATTATAACTTCCATTTCACAGATGAGAAGAAATTAAGTGATTTGATCAAGGTCACACAGGTAATAAAATACAATCCCTGATCTAGAACCTAGGTCTTCTGGCTGGTGAGCCCAATTCTTCCTGACTCATGGCTGAATGTTGCCCTGAGAACATGCATTCAGGAACAGCACCTATGAGCAGCTGGGCAGTACTTCCTACAAACCAGGAAACATGAAAAACGATGCCCTCCAAGAGCTCCGTTTATTAAATCAAGACACATGGTTTGGCAACCCTACCCTGTGATGGTTAAGAACATATTTTCAAACTTACCAGACACAGGCGGACATCCAAAGAAAAAAAAATGCATGTGTGCATACAACCAGGAGAAGGTGTGTCTGCTTCGAACATGAATTTCAGATACTAATGATGGAAAAGAGAAGACTGGTGCTGAATTCTAGACACACATTCTAGCATTAGAGACATATTCTCTGATAACGGGGGACGTGCTTTTATCACGTCCCACTGAGGCCTGGGTAAAACGGCCCTGTGATTAGGTGCTTCTCACCAAGTAAAATTCAGACAACAAGTTTAAAATCTAGGTACTTTCAAGTCCCTGGCTTGCCCTGAATAAGGGTCCTATGAGCCATCAGAACCCTGAAAATAGCTATCCTCTTCTTCTGTAAATAAATGGATTAGCATTCTCAATCATGTTTTAATTGGCCATGATTATAACCCCTTTTAATCTATCAGCCAATACGCAATGAAACCTAATTTTCTAACATCAAAAATGAGAGTCGGATTCAGACTTGTAGTAAATATCCTGAGGTTGCCAGCAACTCCCCATTTGGAGCTGCTCTTGCTTTTTCTTTCTTTCATGGAAGTATGTGCAGTAATTGCCACATGATACAAACATAATGCAGTCTTCAGCATTGCCAGCGCTTTATTTTGACAGTTTAGTCATGAAGTGTTTTTTATTACACGTTGTACTTTCAGATGCCACATTAAAAAAAGAGAATTATTTGATTTACTACCAGAAACACTGAATCAGTTGATAATTAAAATAGACTCTGAATATGGAAGTATTTACCTTAATTTCACTTTCTCTGACATGTTTGTATCACTCATAGTTACCACAGTGGAACATAATTACCTATTCATTGATTCATCGTTAACTTATTTTTAAATATTTTATTTTAGAGACATGCAGTTTATATGGTGGATCAAACAAACAAAAGACTGAGGTTATTCTCAAGGGACAAATGATTGCGGTAAAGAAGGTTTTAAAATAGCACTGTAAGAAATATCAAAGGGCATACAATTATTTTCTGAACTCCATGACAGACAATCATGTCAATGACCGTCTGTATCAGTGAACTCAGGTTAAATAATACTGTGATAACAAAAACCTAAAACAACTCAGTGATTTACAAAATACAGGTTATTTTTCACTCACATTACATGTCCATTTGCAGTCAAAAATGACATCTCTCTCCACATTTCTTTGTTCCCTACCTGAAGGGATTTTTCTTAGGGCAAATGGAAAAGATAGCGAGGAGGAACCACAGAAGGACTCTTAAAACCTTTGTTTAGAAATGTCATGTAATTTCCACTTACTGTTTTCCTTGGCTGAGGGATATGGGGGCTGACAAGTAGAGTCTTCCTACAGGAAGAGACAGCACAGTGATTTTTTTAGAAACGTTCAATATTTTTAGTATTAAAAAAGCTAACGTCCACTTATCAGACACAAAATACCTAGCTGCAGTGATTTCAGGAGTTTATAGGATCCCTGAAAGCCCCAAGGAGGACTCCCACTCCAGGTGTAAGGCAGGGAAGGAGGGCAGCTGCGACTCTCCTGCTGAGCGGTACCGTGCTGGGAGCACACGGGATTGATAGGATGTATATGATTGCCCTTCATTTTTCTCTATTTACTTATTCCTGGGCTGTTTGCCTCTCGCTTGCAATCAGAGCCTATGTGGACATTAGGTGATCCAGCTCCTGACCCACTTCCGGCTTAGCACAGCGTTCTGGCAATCACACATTTCCAGCCATCAGCTCTCTCACCAATTCTGTCCAAGTCCTTTAATCCACACCACTCTGCTCTGCTTAAGGAGTCCCAGGACTGCAGCCTCTGCAGCCTCCAAGCACCTGTACCACATCTGCCCACATTCACTCAGTCCAAATCCCAGACGTGGCACCTCACTTCAAATTGGGCAGATTAATGCCACCA